TAAACTTCATTCTACGAAAGCCAATAGCTTTTGTGACGGATGGGTCTCTTAACCATCTTAACGGGTAGTCAAAACGATAGCCTTCATGCTTTACGGTCTCTGTCTCAAACTTTTGACCGACATTAGTAAAAAGTTCATCTAATGGTTTAGTTGTAGCAACTCTTGAATTTTCTTTTTCTATTGAAAGCATATTTTATCTAGAATAAAAATGTCAAATGAAACAGCGTCTATGAGAGAAATACAACACAACCGACAACTCATTATGCAAGCTCTAAATAAGAACACAACAAACTTTTCAAACTATTCTAAGATATCTGAGTCATTGAAAGAAGGAAACTTAAAACTGACATTAAACCCAATGACAGATGAGTTTGTTTCAAGACAAGAAGAACCATACTGTCTGTATAATCCAACAAAAGGAACTTTAAACGAGAACCTATAATGAATTCTTTTGAAAGCAGATGTTGACAACAAAGCTGACAAAGAATATGTAGACGATGCAATAGCAAAAGAAGAAGAAAGAGCTAACAAAGCTTATGCAACAAAAGAACATACTCATCCTGAACTAGCAGACAAAACATATGTTGACAATAAAATGTCAAGTGAAGTGACAAGAGCTGAAAACAAATATTCTAAAAAGACTTCATACACATTCTATATCTGAATATAAGACTTAAACGTCAGCCTTGAAAAGAAAGCGGATGAGGAATATGTGGCTAGTAAGTTAGAGAAGAAAGCAGATAAGGAATATGTGGATGAAAAAGATAACGAAATGAAAGAAAGGGTTGACTGTACCATGAATGGACATCGAAGATTTTAAAAACTAAAGCCGATACAGGATGGGTTTCAGGATGTTTAGACCTTAAAGCAGATAAAACTTATGTTAACGATGAGTTAGAGAAGAAAGCAGATAAGAACCATACACATACAAGTTTTACAACTGTTGCTATAGAAAGTATTGAAGGAACGGTTGAAGAAACTGGTGGGGATGCATATATTGTAAAACCTCCTAACTTTCCACAAGGTTTAACATCGGATGACGACATAACGACGATGAAAAACATTAGATGTAAAGATGTTTATGTCATGAAGGATGAACATAATATTAAATTCACTGCTCAAGATTTTATATGACAAGAAAGCAGACAAAACAGAGCTTCAAACATTAAAGACAGAAATACTTCAAACATTATATCCTATAGGCTCTATTTATACGTCAATGAACTCTACCAGACCAGAAACAGTTCTGGGTTTTGGAACTTGGACTCAAATAGTCGACAGGTTTTTGTATTGTGCAAACTCTTCAAAGGAAACAGGTGGAAGTAAAACGATTTCAGGTGAAAATTTACCTGCACACAGTCACTACATAGATTTTAAGTACATCTCAAGCAGGTTGGCATAAGCATAGATATTGGGATTGGTCAGCAATGACAAAAGGTAAAGGATATGATGTTAAAGACAACGTTAAGTTTGCTATAAATTGTTACTGGAGTAACACTGAGGGAGGAGGAAACCCATACACATCGCGTTTCAGGATATACGCAAACAACGGGACAAAGTAAAGACTACATGCCACCTTACATGACAGTTTACGCATGGTATAGAAATGCTTAGTCGTCATGTTCCACTTCTTTAGCATATTCGTCAGGAGTTGTCTTATATTTGTTAGGAACTGTCTTTGAAAGTATACCACCTTGAACTTTGACAAGTTGAAACGAGGTCTGACAATAGTAGTTTTATCTTCTGCTTGCAGTCTGTACATTTTGCCATGTTTGCCTAAAACTTCATAATATTCTCTTGTATACTTTCTTCTATTTTTACGAACACGAACGTGAGTACCTGTCGGGTTTCCCATTGTTGTCATAGTCAATAGTATTTTCATATGGGTCGCGTTTAGGTATTTCTATTTTTACTTTGTCACCTTTCTGAAGTTTGAAGCCCGGCATTCTTTCTTGTTTGTCTCTTTTGACTAAATTATTAAATATATAGTCTTTCTCTAAGTCAGGGTTGTTTTTCATTTCTTCGGGGGAGTGGTTTCCCAACCTTTTTGTTTACGGTTATTGTAAATATTTAAAACTTGTCTCATCTTTGCCATGGAGAAGTGTCTATACTTGTCGTCATATGACATTTCATTTGCTTCACCACCTTGTGGTTGGTTTAAGTCTCTTAACATTTTTATACAACCGTCAATGACACCAAGAGCAGAATGGTTTTGGTCGACAATGAAATATTGGTTTACATTTTTTGAACGCAGATAGTTTTTTACATCATCTGATTTGAAAGAACTTTCACAGTCAGATGTCAGTTTTGTTGGATGGTATTTGTCAACGAATATTGTCAAAGCAGTTTTCACATCTAAAATATTTTTGGACCATAATGGTATGGCTTCACAGTATCTTGTGTTTTGACCGACAAATATTAGCCAGTATGGTGGTCCATCTGTTCTAACTCTCGGAATGTTTTCCAAGATATCCATAAACCAAGCATTTGGTGTTGAACTAAAGATTTTTACCATGAGTGCTTTCTTTGTCGCTTTAGAAACATAGGGGTCCTTGTTTGGATTCGTCATTTTTTAACCCATAAGAAATGGGTTTATTTGGCGCATTAGCAGGAGTCGCATCTAGATTTTTGCCCGCAGTGGGAACAATAGCCAGAGGTGTATTTGGAGTTGGAAGGAAGATTTTGAGTACATTAGGTATACTTAAAGAGAAAGCACAACCTATTATACAAACTGTACAGAAAGGTTGGGATGTAGCACGAGATGCAACAAATCTTATTCCAAATCCTGAAACAAGAGGAAAAGTTCAAGGATGGATGGACAATGTAGGAAGACAAGCAGGAAACTATTATAACAAAGCAAATGACTACTATAACCAAGCAGGACACTATATGGACCAAGGTGAAAGATTCTTTAACAGAGGATATAACCATGCACAACAGTGGGTAAACAATAACCAACCTCAACCGCCTCAAACGTGGGGAATGTAAAGTTTTTTACTGAGATGAAATGAACAATACAGCATTGAGACAAATGGGTTCAAGATGGATTTGTCGGCTTCCAGCAGTTACACAACGTGTTTGTCAAGTTCTTCCTATACCTCAGGAAGTTTTAGACCGACTTAAAAAACCTCAACAACCAGTTGAAAACAAACCAAACTAAAATTTTTTACTGAGATGAAATGACCGAAGAAGTTGAAACGGTAGATTTGACACCACAAACAAAAAGTTCAGAACCATTGTCAAAACCTGTCAAAGAACTTACAGATGAAGAGAAAAATTCAATAATAGAAAGTGCCAGGTCTGGAAATACAAACCCTAACTACAAAGTCACTTTTCATAAAAATGGAACGGCTAGTATCTCAAAAAAGAAACAGACTCTCACAAATAAAATATTGAAGTCTGAAGGAGCTTTCGAGACAACAGATGGAAAAGTTTACTTCACTGACCAACAGTTCATTATAGAACATCTCATTGACTTAGAGTCGAAATATTCTAAACTTTACAACAAACACAAAAAGTTGAAAGGAAAACAAAAACAAATGGCATATGATATTTATGAAGATGTTGACGACACAACTGTTCCTGCAAGTGAAGTAAAGTCAAAGGAACCGAAAAGTGACGAAAAACCGATAGAAGAAGAAAAACCAAAAACTGAAGATAAACCAAAACCAAAGTTTAGTTTGGAAACTAAACCAAGTCAACCTTCATTAGCTGGTATGGGTTGGCGTCAAAGACTTATGGCAGCAGGCGGTTATGTTAAGTAAAGAAAAAAATATTTTTTTATTTTTATAAAAATGCCCCCATATAGAATGGATAGAAAATCTGCTAGAATAAAAGCAGAGTTGCAAAGATATGGTTGGAGAGTTTCGAAGAAGTTTAAATATAGGAAGGGAAGACCCATAAAAGTCTATGACAAATTGTCTGGTCTTCGCTACGAAATGGATTTGGAAACAGCACGTGCAAATTATCCAAACAGACTAGAGAGGTTAGAAGAAGAACGTCTTATGGACATGCCTTTCGATGTTAGTGAACCTCAAGTTGAAGGACATGACGGCTTTGCCAGATTCTACTGGAAACATGACGAACAATTGCATCCTTTGAGAAGGAAAAAAGGTAGTGCAGAGGATGGTCATGCTCCCATGGAAAGAACAAGATATGCATATGAGAAGTACCGTGAAGTTAGAAGTCAAATTACTTCTGGTCGAACCTTTACAGTAAACTTTGACGAAGGAAAGAACAAAGAAGGCTTCATGGGTGTACTTGCTGCCATACAAGACGGAAATAAGAAAGGACACAATCTCAGAATGACCATAACAGATTTGGATGGTCACATTTACTATGCACATGGCAATGAACAAACAGCCGCAAAACTTCTTGACGCTTTCAAGACTACAAAGAGAGAACAAATGGTTGACTCCGACTCAGACATTTTGAATGCAATTGAAGGAATTGCAAGTGTCAAGTTCGAATGGTACCAACCTAACCCTCAAGCAGTCAGACAACATGCTGGATACTTCCCCTTCAGAAATAAGTCTGACATTGACTTGACAAGGTATGGAATTTACAATTCAATTGAAACAATTGTCAATGAACCTTGCATTCTTACATGTCTCAGGAACTCTGGTCTTGTTACAGATGAGAAAATGAAGTATCTTGAGTCATGTGTGAAGACAAGGTACATTCTCAGAGGTCAATTGGCAAAAATTGCACCTTTGGCAAATGTCAATATCCGAGTCAACATACCTACAGCTAAAGGTTCTTCACATGACGACTATGTTGTTGACTTCAAATTGCCATGGTTGAAGATTGTAATTGTCCACAACCACTTCATGTTGAACGAAAGTCTTACAAACCCATTGTTCGGAAAAGGCAAGTGCAACATTGTCAGAGCTGTAAACATTCTTTTCGAGAAAGGTTTGTTGGAACCAATTCCAGATGACAAGCTGACAGAAACTTTTGTACCAAAAGACGAAACAAACTTTTCATTGTTAGCAAGACCAAAAGTTGTTCCAGACAAAGTTCTAGTACAAAAGAAGTACACAATTCCACAAGGAGTTGGATTGTTCGGATACCAACCTGAACCAGAAGAACTTCCAATGAGGTTGCAAGAACTTCAAGATGCTATAAACAAACTTCCATTGAGACATCCAATTGACGTCAAATTGTATTGGAGAGCATCTGAGTTAGGTCAGAAGGTTTTATATGAAACAGGTTGCTTCGACGATGTTTATGAGATAACAGGAGAAGTTTCTCAGAAGATAAGAGACTCACTTGAATTTCCACAAACTGGACCAATTGGTTGCGACAAGTTCGACTCAAACGAAAAGATATACTATGTCGACCTTAACGCTGCGTACATGAGGTTTGTCCAATATATTCCGACTGGAATTCCAAACGAAGATGGTGAGTTCCCGGGAAGGAACTATACAGTTGGAAAAGTCATACAACAACTGTATGATATTAGGAAAGCTTCAAACCCCAAACTTGCAATGACACTCAAATTGCTTATGAATTCGACATGGGGATATTCCATTAAGAAACCTCAAGAGATGAAGAGTAAACATTATGAGAAGGTCGACAACTTTGTTGAAAGGTTTTCTCCTTTTGTTTTGAAGTACGAGTTCACTCAAGGTCAAAGTGGCTTAGTAACCACATTAAAATCTATTGTCGAACATTGGTCTTACCCTCAGTTCGCAAAAGCAGTCCTTGACAACTACAACAAATTCTTCTCCGAAGTCAAATCGAAAGTTGTGGTTTACTATGAGAACATTGACGCACTCATGACGAACGAAGAAGGCTATAACAAACTCATTGAAATGGAATGGTCGGTGAAAAGATGGGCTGTTTTAAGCTAGATAAGGTATTTTCAGAAGTTCATGTCCTCTCCAAGCGTAAGTACTGGGGCATACTTGAAGACGGCACAGAAATAAAACATTGCATGAAGTAAAAAATTGCATGAAGTAAAAACGTTTTTTAAAACAATATATTTTTACATATATTAAATGCTTCAGGTTGAAAAACAAAGAACAAAAGTAGCAGATACAAAACCGTTAGACTATATCTATACAAATGCTGGTAGGACTATTTCAGATGAAGAAATTTCATCCCGAGCTTACAGGTTTGACTATCCAATTCGTTGGCTTCAAAGTCCTTCAGATGCAAAGGCAATAGGATTTAGAAGAGTTTTGTTTTCAAATAGAACTAACGCATTTATGTTCGCAGTATATTTTCATGGGCAGTATAAAGGTTCTGATGGTCTAATAGACAAATTTGACGAAATGAGAATCTTTACAGTTCGTTCAGACGAAAGTCTTGAGAAAACTCTAAATGACTTTCAAACTCAAATGAACAAATACTATTGGGAATTTCAAGAAAAATACGACTCTTTACTAAATGGAACATACTATCTGAAACTAGAATATGACAAGATGAACTCCACCGTTTCATTTCAAAAGATTGAAATTAACCCTCCAAGAGATACGGAGTTTTTATTTTGGGAAGTAGACAAACGTTCTTGGGCACAATTTCTTCGGTTACTAAACCAGAACGAACCATTACCACCAGATGGTCCATTTAAATTTATACTTCCACCAGCAGATTTGACAGTTTATAGAAACGTGTTTGACCCTCAAAATGTTATGTGCCATGCAAGTTTCAGTTCAAGCAACAATAGTTTTCTATGTATTGGCAAGGACTTTTACTTTTATGACTTTGCTTCTAAATTCTACGAACCACCTAGTAACAGTTTCTCTGACTTTCAAGTTTGGTTCACAACAAATGGTGTGCAGCATATTCTTCCATTGTACTATGACTTTTATCTCGAATTGTCTTTCATATATAACTACGGAAAAGTGCTGAAAAAGTATTGAATGTGAAGTTTAGGTGAAGTGGTGAGATCTCACCCGTTTTTTCACCTGTTTTTTCACCCGTTGAATTTTCATGAATTTTCCCGAAATAAAAAATACTTTTAGGTGAAGTGGTGAGATCTCACCTGTTTTCTCACCTCTTTTTCTCACCTGTTGAATTTTGTTGCTGAATTCGGCAAAAATATATTTTAGGGTAGATGGTTTTTAGGTGTCACCAGGTCCCTCGGTTAAACGAACTTCTCTGAAAAAATGAGACAACATGACATTTTGACAACAACACAGGAAATAAACTTCTTCGTATATGTTTTGTCATGATTTCATCGTAAATGTTTTGTCAAACATGAACGTATATGTTTTGTCATGATTTCATCGTAATGAGTGTAAAGGACCCAAAAATATATTTTAGGTGAAGAGGTGAGATCTCACCTGTTTTCTCACCTCTTTTCTACCATCGTAGAAAACACACAAAACTCTTGAATTTTGTTGTTCCCGGACCAAAAAATATATTTTAGGTGAAGAGGTGAGATCTCACCCGTTTTCTCACCTGTTTTCTCACCCGTTGAATTTTCCCGAAATAAAAAATAAAGTTAGTTTTTTTAAAAAAATATTTTTTATTTTTATTGTAAGAACATGTTAGCAACAACAGCACCAAACTCGTTAGTCATGAACCCAACTTCAATGTTAGTAGAGATGAAAAGCTTCATTCCTTCTTCATATACTTTCGAAACAGAAATCCAGAAGATAAAGCAAGAACTTCTCCAAGGAGATTTAGATTGCACTGCGAAAGATGAAACAAATGAAGAATATCTTTATGAAATGCAGGATATTATTGACCATCTACCTAAACTTCCTGAAATACAACAACAAAAGCTCACTATTCCTGAATTCGATGAAATAGAAGTCAAAGCAACTGACTCGGTAGAAATAAAGAAGTTCATACGTAAGGTTAACTATGAGTTTCTTGGATTTCATTGCAACCACAAAGTCATGGACAAAGATTGCGACATGTTATATAAGAATGTTTCTGACATATATAAATCGGAGGAGTTTAAGACCTACGACAACTTTGTTTCGTTAGTTGCTGAATGTGTATGGCAGATAAGAGATAAAGATAAAAGAGGTAAAGTATGGAACGAACAAATAAAACCAGCAACTTTTGAGTTAAAGAAAACCATTGACGCTATAGTTGTACTTGCAGGACAAATTTCAATGTACAATGCTAAAATGAACCCACAATGTTCTAAATGTAAAGCAGCAATGAGGAAATATAACTACTCCGTCAAAGAGATAGAACGTATGCGAAACGACTATGCTGACTTAAAGAAAGAAGCAGAGAAACCAGCAGAAAATAAAATGGACATGTTAGAATTTCTAAACAAAAACTATCCAACTGCTGACGATTTCCTTCTTTCAGATGTCAAGAAGAAATATAAAGATACATTCAATATTGTGAAAACTTTTGACATACTGACAGAAGAAATAGAAGCCACAAAATTGTTTAGAATTTCAAATATACATCGTACAATTCATGTAAAACGCTTATAAAAAAAAGAGGTGAGAAAAGAGGTGAGAAAACGGGTGAGATCTCACCTCTTCACCTAAAATATATTTTTGCTGAGTAAAATGACCAAATTTCATGAATTTCCTCATATGTTTGCTACCCTCGAAAAACTGAGGGAAGAGATTCCATTCGAAAACAGTGAAAAAATGACCAAATTTCATTATATAACTGTTATTTTTGACGAAGAGAACTTTTGCACTTCGTTTAAAATACACTATTTTTGTGTTATTTTTTACGAAGAGAACTTTTGCACTTCGTCAAAAAAATCCCTGAAATCATATCTTTTATACAAAATTCAAGAGGTGAGAAAAGAGGTGAGAAAAGATGTGAGATCTCACCTCTTCACCTAAAATATATTTTTGCTGAGTAAAATGACCAAATTTCATTATATAACTGTTATTTTTTGACGAAGAGAACTTTGACACTTCGTAAAAAAAATCCCTGAAATCATATCTTTTATACAAAATTCATGAAGAATACGAGTGGGTTCAGTTTAACAAACAACTCCGTCTCATTCGTTCGGTCAAAGACGATATGTACCAAATGCAAAGTATTTTGACAGTATGTTTTGCTCCAGAAACCAAACACGCAGACGACTGGTTCAAAAACCAAAGCACACAAGAATTTTTGAGTGAAATTTCTCTAGACCGACTTTTTTCGGTCTTGCATAAAACACATGAAAACAGTGAAAAAATGACCAAATTTCATTATATAACTGTTATTTTTTGACGAAGAGAACTTTTGCACTTCGTAAAAAAAATCCCTGAAATCATATCTTTTATACAAGATAGAAAAAACCCAGTCGCCAAAACTCATGAAAATCGTGAAAAATTGCGAGTAGGGAAAAAACCCCAGTCGCCAAAAATCCCTGAAATCGTGAAAAAATGACCAAATTTCATTATATAACTGTTATTTTTGACGAAGAGAACTTTTGCACTTCGTAAAAAAAATCCCTGAAATCATATCTTTTATACAAGATAGAAAAAATAAAGTTAGTTTTTTTAAAAAAATATTTTTTATTTTGTATGTAAAGACAGAAAATGACAAACACTGAGTTTGAAACAGTTAGAAAGATAGACAATGACACCAAAATGGTTAGAATATGTGATTTAAACGTAAGATACTCAAAGAAATACAACAAATATTCTTTGTCAGACATTCTAACACTATCTGGAAAGAAAACATCCCACGACTGGGTTAGAACTGCTTCTACTCAGAAAATTTTGACAAGAAATCCTGAGCTTATGATATCGGTAAGATTCTATGGAACTGCAGCATATCTCATCGACAAAAGTCTTATACCAATAGTTTTGTTATGGTTAGACCCAGTTGTTGGATATAACTTCATAACATATGGTTCATTCGATACGGAACGTTGCAG